GCGTGAGATGGAGGTGATTCCTTGAAATAATGTCTGGACTTTTTTTATATTTTTTATCTTTTGCTAATGATTCTGTCAAAGTAAATTCGCTCTGTAGATTTTAACTGATGTTTAATGGCGGGAACTTCATCAGATACAACTGAAAACAAGTTTGATGAAGGCTGACCAGTGAAGAGATTTAATTTGCACGCTGACTTCCCCCCTGAAGTACTTCCCTTCTTAAGACATCTCTAATACCAGCAGCTGATCCATATCGCCACGTCGCATCAGTGGACTCGTATAACTCTGAAAATATTTCCAAATGGATCCAGATTGAATCTCTTATCCGTCTTTTCTTGCTGGTACCTTTCTTCTCCCCCCCCCACCTCCTCTCTGTATTATTTAGCAGCAGATAAGCCCTCCCTCTCTTACCTTAGTGTGCTATATCACTGCCAGCAAGAGAAACAGGCAGGGGTTCGTTCTATATGTGATACAGTTCCTCTCCTGCCAAGCGCAGCCGCTCAGCCATCATTCGGTGCTGACGAGTTTGGGTCCTTGCCATGTTCTGCACCTGCCAGACTCCTAAAGAATCCCCCTGTGTTCCTCTGGGGGCCTCCAGGCAGGATCTGCCACAACTGTTAAGGATGTCGCGATTTAGACATTCAAGCCAAGGCTTAGGCTCCATTGATGGCGCCAACAAGTTGTCAGATGGTCCGTTTTGTTTGGCTGATCCATCAGCGGGGGGTATTTGAGGTGTTGGGATGAATGAGCAGTCGGGGTTTATCACTATCGGCACAAAAATAACGTCTCGGATGTGGAGCAGAGGTAGACATGTTGCTTAACGGTTTGCTGCCGTCGTGCTCAAGTGCGTTTTTTTTGTAGAAGTGATCCTTGAGTTTTAAGCTCAGAAAACTTGAACTTCAATAAAATTAAGGCGAGTGGATGGAGTGGACATCCTTGTTGAGGATGTCTCATTATAGATGAGAGGGAAGAATGAGTCAAATCACGAGTGCATTCAGCTTGTGTGTTTGTTAAAAGCAGAGGAGAACTGCTGCTGGGCTGTAATTTTCTGCATGTATTACTTTGCCAGCAGCTAAATGAATGCATATTTATGATGTGTGACATAATGATGAAATGAAGCCTTCAGAAATGAGTCTTATTTTCTAGAAATTCCTCTGCTCGCTCTCACCTCTATTTAATATAAAACGTCCATCTTTCTGCGATTGCTCTCCTTATGAATCTTTGCATCTTGTTTTCATCTCAGCCCATCTACATATACCAACAAAGACAAATTTGCACAACAATAAAAAAAAAAAAAAATTGCAACTGGTGTGACTGGAGCCATAAAGCTCCAGTGTTGTCTCAACAGTCCGAGAAGCTTCTCACAGAAACTTTGGGGCTTGTCAGCATTTTCACAAATTCCAGCCTGGCTTTTTAGTGTTTTTCTGAGAATAGTGGAGCTTCGTGGTTCTTTATCTATGGAGCCCAACACAATTCAAAATGTGACTGATGGTGCGATCAGAAAGTGATGTAATTTGACCTTAGAGTTCAGCTTAAATGGTTTGAATAGTTTCTTTGGCTCTTTTTCTAACATCAAACCTTCTGATCAACCTGGAGTCGCATGCCTTTTTGCAGCCACACCCTGGGAGGTTGGCCACAATCCTATAAACGTTTATTCTTTCTGTTTATATTGGCAACTGTGGTAACAGGAACATGAAGCTGCTTGGAGATGATTTTGTGGACATAGTCTTTCTGAGCTCTTTGGACAGCGCTCTCCTGAGCTTTATCCGTTTTACATTCATGCCACTTTGCTATTGGTAAGTGCGGCTCCACGCTGCTCTCCTCTGCCCCGTTCTTCTCAGGTGTAGGTGATTTGCAACTACGACTTGTTTTTCTGCTCTGTGGTCAGGATCGTCAATGCAAAGTGGGTGGGATCGTAACAGGTCATGTATTCAAGCCACTCCGCCCATTGCGGTCCTTAATCGCCCTATAATCATACTTGACTACCTTTAGTTTATCTCGGCACTGCTTATAAGTCTGGGTGTAGCCATGCTTCACCATCAGCTCTGATATCTCTCAGTAAATGCACTCATTTCTTGCAGCGCTGTTCGTCAACACAATGAGGAAGTGGTGGTTCAGATGTATTTTGCGGTTTTGCTGGGCGGGTCATCTAGTGATGTAGCTCCGCTGGCCAATCGACGACCTCTGTCTGCTTGTGTCAAAATCGACCCCTCGAAGCAGCCTGCTTGGAACCACAAACAAGGTGGTCCCATAAACTGAGTTGAGTGGGGTAGATACAGACAGTAATGGACTGCACTGTTCTTATATAGCACCTTTCTATCTGATCAAGACACTCAAAGTGCTTTACAACACAATCTGTACCTCATTTACCCATTCATACAGCACTCTACTAGATCTCTACAAAGCTAATTGAACAAATCATTCTAAAGAGACTAATCAGTGCTTCATCACATTCATACACCGATGGGACACACATTGGAGGCAATGAGGGTTTCAGTGTCTTGCCCAGGGACGCTTCGGCATGTGACTGCTGGTGGATTCGAACCTCCAACTCTTGCACTGGAGAACGACTGCTCTAACCACTCAACCACAGCCGACAGTGGAGGCCCTTAACTGGTGCCGTCTTGTGCTGAGCCGAGGAGTTGAGACGGTGGCAAAGCGTCATCAGTGTGGTCACATGACTCCAAACTACCCAGTGTCATGTTTACTTCCTTTATGAGGCTGAATGGCTGATTAAAAGCTCAAAGGCACCTTCAGTACTGACAATATACTGACAATACTGACTTATACCCGCATCTCTCTTTTAAGCTCCATCTGGAAAACCTAGTAAAGAAACTGAAAGTTAAACTGGGTTTCTTTTTCAGAAACAGATCCTGTCTAACTCTGGATGCTAGGAAACGCCTTGTATCTGTGACTTTCCTTCCCTCCATTGATTACGGTGACATTATTTACATGAACGCTCCTACAAGAAACCTGCAGATGTTGGATGCTGTCTATCATGGTGCACTAAGATTCATAACTGGCTGTGATTATCGTACCCACCACTGCACCCAGTATTCACTGGTTAACTGGACATCATTAACTTCACGCAGACTCTCTCACTGGTACATTTTAATCTTTAAATCACTTCTTGGTCTGTTGCCTTCATACATCTCTTCCTACTTGTCTCTGCATGAGTGCAGCTACAGCGTGCGCTCTCAGGACATCATTACCTGCAGTGTTCCCTCAATGAGGACTGAACTAGGCAAAAGGGCCTTCTCCTACTCCGCTCCTGTTTCCTGGAATATCTTACATAAAGACCTGAAGCTCTCGACCTTGACCTCTCTAATTGGCTTTAAGAATCTGTTGGACTCCTGGCAGGGACCAATGCAGACATGTTCCTGTTTATAGTTTTCTACATTCGCCTTAGAATCTAGCAGTTTTTGTTACTTTTTTTTTTGCAATCTTATTTTAATTTGTATAAAACAAAATTTAAAAAATCTGTATACCTTTTTATAATTGTCAATTGTTGTTGCTGTTGTCATCACTCTTTGTGGAAATCAGGTCTCTCTTGTAAATGAGTCCTCGAGGCTCAATGGGATTTACCTGTCTAAATAAAGGTTGAATGAATGAAAGAAAAATACTAATTAAAGTCAAACACTTAGTTTGAAACTTGATTAAAATACAAGGTTTAATATTCTCCTTAAGGTGACTAACCAATCTGTCCATATTATTTTAGCATATCATTGTACTACCCTAATTCCAAAAAAGTTGGGATGTTGTGTAAAATGTAAATAATCGCAGAATGCAATGATTTACAAATCTCATAAAACCATATTTTAGGCACAACGGAGCAAACTAACTGTATCCGATATTTAAGGAGAGACTGACATGTGATTTTTATATCATCGCATTTATTTTTATTTTGCACAGCGAGCCGGCTTTGGTAGCTTCATGGTCGATGTTTTGTAATCCTGAGGTTGTGGGTTTGAGTCCAGGTTGTGTCAGGAAGGGCATCGATCGTAAAACAAATTGATAAATCTTTCATGCGAGTTCACTCGCTTTGGCGACCCCTGAAGGGAGCATCCAAAAGAAAGTTTTTACACGATGTCCCAACTTTTTTCTGAATTAGAGCAGTAAGGCCATGCATACAAATAATCGCTTTTAACTGAATCACGTTTCATGAGAAATGAAGCATCGTTTCAAGGCCACTAACACGTTTATCCACATCTGTACCGCCTGCAGCTGCTTTGCTCTTGTCTTGTCCTCATATCAACCCATCTGTATGTACGGGCTCTCCTGCTCCCTGTCTGTGCTGTAAAGTGAGAAGTGGGCGCTGCTCCCTGAATGCACCGCTTTGTCTTAATAAGAGGAGGCAACGAGGCCGAGGAGAGCGAAAACGAGACGAAGAAAGCGCCATTGACAAACAAGCAAACACGAGTCAGCCCCTGTCCCCCCCTCGCCCCATTGTCTCAGAGAGCTGGACGCCAAAAGGAGGACAGGAATCTAAAGAGGAGGACAAGGAGCGAAGAGTCGGGGCTTTGTTTGGGCCGCTGGACTCGGAGACAGTCAAAGTGCACGCGTGGGGGAGGAGGGGTGAGACACGGAGGGATGGAGGAGAGGGCTCGGAGCTGACCTCGTGCAGGATCTCCTTCATCCTCACTGTAAACAGAGTCCTCATTTCCTCATGTGATGCTTACATATGATGACACACGTGTCCATGTGGTCATGATTCCAGCCCACCTGTTAACCTGCCGTCCCGCTCGACTCGGTCGCAGCAGCTCAGGGTTTCAGCAGAGTTTGAAGATTCGCCCCAAGTTGCTCGTTGTTCACAAAATTAATTCACTGCAGCAACACAGGTGCCTTTTGCTCCCACTTCAAAGGATAACTGTGTGAATTTGTCCCAACGAGGGGAGAGGGAGAGGTGGTGGGGAGGGTGAGGAATGGGTCGGGCCGGGGCCTGGTTGAGGGGTGTGGTTGGGTATAAACCAGGGGACAGTGGCGTTTCTGTTGTTGTCCCATTCCCCTGCGCTCTTCTTTGTTTGGGTTTTCCTTCTCCTCAGAGCTCCCTGTCCCTGCAGAGTGGGACCCGTCCTCTACTGAGACAGAGCACTGTCCAATCTGCGGCGTCCATCTATTGGGAGCTCCACAGAAACCAGTAACCATGCTGACGGTTTTGGCGCTGGCGTCCGTTGTCCTCCTGGGAATAGGTAAAAAAAAAAACTAAACTTCTTTTTTTTTTTTTTTAGTTCGTCTGTTTCCAGTTTGATGAAAGTTCAAAAATCTTGCATCTGTTAAAAGCTCGTTATCTTTCTTCGGACGCGGGGGTTAAAGGTTAAAGAAGGATTTGAACAAGAGGTTTTTATTTCTTTATTTGATTACCTGATGAAAATAAAGCTTTGGAGCTGATTTAAACCGTCCCTCTGCAGCTGATTTATACTTAACTAAAGCCTTTAATTGCGTCTTGACATTTGCTGCATCGATTCCATGTAAAATGGACTCTGCTCGTTTTTACAGTGTCATAAACGGCCCTTCAACGTGCACTGAGTTGTGTTTCCATAAAGCAGGTGTCTCCGAGCCTGGAAAGTAAAGGGAACTAATATTTTGACTTTCAAGCTGAGGTTTAGCTGTCGAACACTTTTTTTTTTCTCCCACACCTCCCTCCTGTCAGATATTTGTGGATTTTTTTGTCAGGATTTTAATTAAAAGCGTCAAGCGTGGTTTCATTGACGAGCGGTGCGGGGGCTTTGCTGTATCGCTGGAAGGATGCTTGCAAGAGGAAGCTGCGAACTTTACTGTGTGGGTGTCGAGGAGGCTGTGACCTGCAGATACTCACCCACATGTCGTCCAAGAATGGCGGGGCACGGCTTCTCCCTGCAGGCTCTGCTGGTTGTTTGACATGCTGGGGTCAAGGGAAGTAAAATATTGATTTTCTTTTTTCAGCCGAAACCAAATTAGCATTGATCATTAAATATCACCGGAGCATAAACAGTGCAGACGGTTAGGCCCACATCACCCTTACTAATGGAGAAAATGATATTCCCCTTTGCTTTTACAGACTCGCCCATATTCCAGTAATTACCGAGCATGTGAGCGAATCGATGCTGGCTTTGACACCACTGAATGTACAGTCAGTCAATCTGCATGCATACGTAATTATTTGGGATTTACGTTACAGATTTCAAAGGAGCGCACTAATGAATGTTGTTGAGCGTCAGTTATAGTGGGGATTAAAAATCGGCAGAAACTGCAGCAATCGGAGGATCAGTGCACGTGCACACCCATCAGAACTGTTCAAACAGGTTCTGCCCGCTCATTTAGGCTGCTCTGCAAACGCTCGTTTGTTTGCTGACTGGCATTAAAGTCTGACGACGTGTGTTTGGATTATGGAGCAGAGTGTGATGTGAATGTGAAACGTTTGGATGTTGGTTAAATGGACCTGATTTGTGTCTCCCAGTGCCGGAGCAGTCCCAGGCCATCACTATTTACACCGGCTGGGAGCGCCACGCCCTGGTGGGCTCTGACATCAGGCTCTCCTGCTCCTTCTTCTCCTGGCGCTGGATCTCGGATGACGTCACCTTCTCCTGGACGTACAGGCCCGACGGCTCCCGGGACAGCATCTCTGTAAATAACTCTCTCACGCACACACGGCTTGCTGTGTTCTCTCACTCTGAAGAGTTTTTGAACTTTTACTTCCTGAAAAGCGTTGACGCTTGGTTCACTCTGGCTGCCTTCATCAGCGTTTTTTTTTCCTCCAACTGCAGCTGTTTCATTAAAGGAGCTCTGATAAATCACTGCACGCCACACGTCCAGAAGCCCACCGCTCACATAGATGGAAACAGTTTGTGGCATGGAGCGTTTATCAGCTGAGACGCCCTCACAGAAAGCCAAGTAGAAAGCTTCCTCTCCCATTTTCTCCTTTTTCGCCCAAATTGGTATGGGGTGCCGTTTAAGTTACACAGGCAAAAATTAACAGCAATTTTTTGGTTTATTTAACCTTTATTAAGAAAAAAAATGTTTTTTCTAAGTCATATTTTCACCATGTTATTCATACATTTATAAACGTCATACTTTCAAACTAAATATTTAATTTACAAGCTAAATATTTAGTTTACAAACTAAATACTTAACTTGCAAGTTAAATGTTTAGTTAGTAAACTGAATATTTAGGTGTAAATTAAATATGTAATTTCCAAACTAAACAGCTAAACATTTAATTCCTACACTCGGTATTTAATTTGCTAACTAAATATTTAACGCTCACCTAAATATTTAACTTTTAAGCTAAATATTTAGCTTGCAAGTTAAATATTTAGATGAGAGTTAAATATTTAGTTAGCAAATTAAATACTGAGTGTAGGAATTAAATGTTTAGCTTAGAAATTAAATGTTTATTTTGGAAATTAAATATATAGTTTGGGCAATAAATATTTAGTTTGGAATTTAAATGTTTAGTTTTGAAAATAAAGATTTAGCTTGGAAATTAAATATTTAAATTACACCTAAATATTTAGTTTACTAACTAAATATGTTACTTGCAAGTTAAGTATTTAGTTTGTAAACTAAATATTAGCTTGTAGTTTAAATATTTAGACGAGAGTTAAATATTTAGTTAGCAAATTAAATAC